GGGTCCCCGCGTGGGGATGCTCCTGGTTCCCACCCATGGGGATGCTCCGGGTCCCCGCGTGGGGATGCTCCTGGTTCCCACCCATGGGGATGCTCTGGGTCCCYGCRTGGGGATGCTCCAGGTCCCCACTCGTGGGGATGCACCATGTCCCTGAATATGGGGGTGCTCCAGGTCCTCGTGCATAGGGATGCTCCAGATCCACACACATGAGGATGCTCCAGGTCCCCATGTGTGGGGATGCTCCGGATCCCGGCACATGGGGATGCTCCAGGTCCCTACATGGGGATGCTCCAGGTCCCCACACATGAGGATGCTCCAGGTCTCCACATGGCTTTGCTCCGGGTCCCCACATATGTGGATGCTCCGTGTCCCTGCTTGTGTTGACCACCTCCCTGCAGCACCTAGACTGGGTTCACGTTCCTCGTCTCCAGTTTAAGTGCAGGGCTGGGGTGCTGAGGTTCAGCATGCCGTGAATAGGGTTCCCACTGCCATCCCATCAGTGGGATGAAGCCGGCCTGTGGAGAGCTCCCCCGTGGCTCCTATTGCAGAACAGGTTGGACTCCGTAGCTGTCCCCTCCCGCGCTGCTCCGTTAGGACCCTCTTCCCGGCGGGAATGCCCTGTTGCTTGAAACAGACCCGGCATGGATCCCATTGCCTTGAGAAGCTGGTGAGCAGCTCGTGGGGAGCCCCGACCTTCCCCAACGGATTTACTAGTCCGGCATGAGCCTCGGCATGGAGAGGCAATGGAGATAGAGGCTACAACCCAGAGGTGATGGAGGCCACGATGCAGAGGCGATGGAGATGAAGGCCACAATGCAGAGCCTTCTGCAKCAGGGCAGGATCTTTGTGCCTTTTTCTCCCCATTTGAGCCCAGGAGAGACCGAGGGCCCTTGTGCCCCGCTCCTCATGTCCAAACTGGGCACGGAGGCCTCCTTGCTGAACGTTCCTCTCCCTACGTACCCACGAGGCAGGGCTCGAGGGAAGCCCCTGGTGGCTTTTGGCACCCTGTGGTCCCTACCCCTCAGGCTTGCCCACCCTGCCCTGGCGCTTGCCAACAAGGAGGAATTTTCCAGATCTCCCTCCCGCTCGTGTGTTTTCTCTTTTCCTATTAATATTTGTCTTCCCGTTGCAGGAAGGCGCCCGTTCCCAGCGCGGCTCCAATCCTGCACCGTGGGGTGGAACAGGAGCCCATGGGGCTTTTTGGGGACCAGAGGATGCTCGGTGGGGAGGGAGGCAGTAGCTCAGCCTGAGACCTGGAGGTGGAGAGGGATTTTGGGGGGCTCACTGAAGATGCTGGTGAGAAAATGGGTGGTTATTGGGCACAGTGGGTGTAGTTTCTTATCAAGGGCTGCTCCAGGTTCCTTGCTTTCCAGCTGCTGCTGTTGGGGGCTTTTCCAGGTGCTGTTTTACAGCTGTGTTAGATGGAGACTCTGCTCTCTCCTCGGTTTAAATCCAAGGTTAAACCCACAGCGSCTCGTAAAGGGATGCGGATCGTGTAGACCCAAGGCGAGGCTGTGATATTGGTGTGAAATTATCCCCTTGCTTTGGGTGAGATTTGCAGTTGCTTCCAAGGGCTCTTTCTGATCTCGGGGAGTAAGAAAAAGTCTCTGAAAAGATTCTTTTTTTGATCAGGAAAATACAGAAATCTGTGTTTTCTAGGATGAGCTGCAAACACGTAGGTTTCRTCCATCGGAAAAGAAATAGAGGTTGGAATTTTGTGCAGGGACACGGAACAATGCTGTGCACGGGGCTAGATGACGCCTGTCACGTTGCACGGTCAGCATTGACACGGTGTTGTGTTCTCCCAACACCCCAACCTGCTTAGGCTTAGACTTAGCCCGGAGGCTCGTGGCCGCGAGCGTGCAGAGCCCGCGTYGGGACTGACCACAAAGCAGCGTTTTCTGCGGCAGAGGCTCCTGTTTGGTGGCACTCGGGCTGCCCGGCACGGGCTGGAGCCCTGGCCGGCCCCTCGCCACCTGCATCCAGGATTATGTCCCGGGAATGAAAGATTGATGGCCCGGGRCTCAGGTTGCCTCTCCGGGTGAGCCGGCGCGCCCGGCGAGGCATCCGTTTCAGGGAGCATGTATTATTGATCCGGCGCCCCGTTTGCCTCCCCGCGGCCGCTTGTGCTTTGTCGGGTGGTGCTGTGTCAGGCGCACGGGTTGCCGTGGCGACATGGTGCCATATCCCCGAGATTCCCAYGGATCTGGAAGCTCCCTGCCGCTCGGGAAGGGACGAGCGGGACAACCTGCGGGGCCACCCCCACATCCTCGCCCCGCCGGACTCCTGMATGGAGGCCGGGCCTCGGGAAGCTCTTCCCGCCTCCGCCAGCCGGGATACAGGCGGCAGAGGCGGCTCCGGCTGCCGGAGGATGTTCCGGAGCGCGACGTGCGGCTGCGGCGCCGAGGAACGCGGGAGCTGCCCGTGCCCACGCGCAGCAAGCGCTGGGCGGCTTTAGGGGGTGCTGGGCGGCTTTAGGGGGTGCTGAGCGGCTTTAGGGGGTGCTGGGCGGCTTTAGGGGGTGCTGGGCGGCTTTAGGGGGTGCTGGGTGACTTTAGGGGGTGCTGAGCGGCTTTAGGGGGCACTCAGCAGCTTTAACAGGTTGTAGCTTTGTAGGCTGCAAACTGCCTGGAGGGCTCCTAGGGAATAACGCGTTCCAGCTCCTGCAGGAAGGAAGCTCCACGCGCCCGACGTTGCAGCGTTTTTTGGTAACGCAGGGCCAAGTTGGGGGTAGGATGGGCTGGGGGGCTCTCGAGGAGCCCCTTGGCTGCACCAGCACCCCGGCAGCGGTGCGGGTGGCCCTCSGGGTGACGCGGAGGTGTCTCATCCCCAGTGCTGGTCCCCGGTGCTCCCTGGGGTCTGGCATCCCCGCTAGAGGCGCTCCTGACTCTGCTTCCCGCCTCCTTAGGCAAGAGCCTGGTGCTGTTAAGCCGTGTTCAGCTCGTGACCCTGTGTACTCCCTGCTTCCCCAGAACTGCTGGGACAACCGTTCCCTGCCCCGTGTCCGCATAGCTGGCTCTTCCCCTCCCAGCGCGGGGCTTTGCTTGTCCTCCGATTGAGTTTCGTCCTGGTCCTTGTTTTCCAGCCTGTTTCTCCGACGTGCTGAGGAGCTCTCCTCCTTGCCCTCCGGTTTAYGTTTGCATCTCCTGCAGCTTCCAAGCTATAGGTGCAGAAATCACATTATTGCCCTTGCCAGAGCTGTTCATGGGAACGTGGAGTGACCCACGGGAGGCCCTTGGGGATCCTGCTTGACCCAACCTTTAGTAGCTTCCAGAGCCAGTTATTCCCACAGGATCGGCCTTGTGCCGTAGGGATTCACCGAGACCCCRTTTCCTAAACTGCCTCGTGACACTTGAGACACGTAGAAGGTGAGTGGAGCSGGGACCTGTGACCTGCAGAGCTGCTGCACGGCCCGCAGACCCGTTCCTCCGCTGCAAGGAATGGGATGGATCRGAAGCAGCATGTTCCCGATAGACCCCTGCTGGTGTTTATGCCTTTGGATTGCTTGATTTGTTCCGGGATTTTCCAGGAGCTGACGTTAAGCCGGGGAGTTTCTGGTTACCCCCTCCGTGCCGCCCCCGCGGGCAGGTGGCTCGTGCGTCCCTCGCAGCGTGCTGCCCTCGGTCACTCGTCCTCGCGCAGGGATGTCACGGGGAGGGAAGGCAGCAGAGCCTGCGGATTAACCTGGCTGCTCCTTTGGGTCCCCCGTGGTGCAGAGGGGGACGCAGGCTGTGGTGTCTGTGAGAAACCATCAGCTCGAATGAGCTCCCCACCTTCCTCCTCGCCTCCGTCCTAACCCTCCTCACCACCGTCCTTCCCCGCCTTGAACATCTTGGGGCATTCAGCTGTTTCCATCTCCTCCGTGCTGGTTTCCATCCAGCTGATAGGAGCTGGGCTTGATTTGWTTAAAAAATAGTAAGAAAATCACCACCATCACTTTGTTCCTCGCACATATAAAGTCTCCTTGGGAGGAAGACCTCAGCAACGGGCAGTGGCCACGGATGCTGCTGGAAGGAAGCAGCCCAACTCCATGAGAAAAAAAGGGGGCTAAAAATATCGGAGCAGCTTGGGCAGCAGCTTGGGAGCAAGCCCAGCCCGTGCTGGGGGAAGATGAAGGTCCGAGCAGGTGGGTTGGGATCAGGGGGAGCCGCGTGYGCGGCTGCTGGTGAAGGAGGCGGTTTGGGATTGCCCCCCAAAATGCGAGTCCTGTCTAGGAGACCCTTGGGGCCSGCCTGGCACTGTCCCTGCCGTCACTGCTGTGCTGCAGGCAGCTCCCCGTGGCTGCTCTCCTGCTGAGGTGCCGGCTCCGGGGTTGGAAGTGACTGTAGTTGTCTCGGGGAGCTGATTAAAACCAGCGGGACAATCGCTGCCGATCCCAGTATCCACGAATCCAGCCTCGGCGGGATCACAATCCCGCTGCCGCAATCCACAAGCACAYGAGTGCCTGGATAAGCCTCACGGCTTATCCCTCCCTCCGGAGGCGCTCGCATCCRAGCCGGCCGCTCCCGTGCGTCCGACTCCCGCATCCATCGGAGCCGCCTATCGCGACATATTCCAGGCCCCCCGGCGCGAGCCTCGCCGCTCTCCAAACTCCACAAACTTGTCACTTGAGCTCGGCAGCCAAAGCGGCGGCTAAATTTGGGTGCTTGTGTTCCCCCAGGCCAAGTATCAGGTTATCTGGATCACATGCGCTCCCAGCTGCTACTTAACTCCGATGCCTCCGGGAGACGCAGCCCTTCGCGGCCCCTCTTGGGAGGCTAATGAAGCCCCTCGCTCGTTTTCTGTGGCATTATTATTATTATTATTATTACTGCTGCGATTATAACTAGTTTTCGTGCCAGTGTTTTGTTTCGCTGCCGTTTTTTCCCACCGGATTCCTGCTCCCGTGCCAAAGAGCAGCGCCGGCCGCTCCGTCTCACCGCGATGTTTCTGGTTCTTTCAGCCACCACGGAGCTGAGGGACTTCTTTGCCAAAGCCCGGAACGGGTCCGTTCGCCTCATCAAAGTCATCATCGAGGATGGTAAGTGTGATTTTTCAGTGCTTTGCCCCCCCGCTCTGTCGTTTATGCTCTTGGTTTTACGGCTGTAGYGGTGCCGGGGAAGAGGACCGGAGTTTGCAGGGCATTCCCTGAAGGAACCGCGTCGGGATCCCGGCTCTGCTTGCGGCCTTTCCCGGGAGCAGAGTGGCCCTGACACCCACGTGCTCCTTCCCGCGGGGCTGTGCGGAGCCCCCCGGCATCCGGGCCTGGCAAAGGTGGCTCGGAGCTGCCTCTATATTTATYAAAGAAAGCCGTGGAACAAAGCACTGATTTAGCAGCTGGGCGGAGAGGCCCCCGGGGCAGCTTTTTCCATCACCTCAGTCTGCTCCTGTTGCATGAATTCGTGTCTCCGGAGTGCGGATGGCAGCGCCCTGCCGGGCTGCTCCATCACCACGCCGGCTCCTTCCGTCTCGGAGCCGGGAGCTGCGGGACAGCAGAGGGATCAGCCTGGCAGGGAGACGTCCCCTGTGCACGGAGGAGCTGGGATCTGGCGGGCTGTCCTGGAGGAAAACCGGGAATAACCTCTCRCTAGAGGAAAACCGGGAATACCCTCGCGCTGCAGCCGGGCGGGCGCGGAGAGGGACGCGGAAGGTGCCGGGGAAGGTGGCTTAAAGGGATCCATCTCATCCCGCACAACAGGCAGGGCTGTAAGCAGCATAAAGCTGCTTTTGGAAGAAGCCTGAATTTGCAGGGTCTCCTCACAGGGATTTCTTGGCCTCTTTCAGCCCTCTTGGAAAGAGGGACCTTGGCTCCTGTTAGGATAAGCCACGCAGGCTCAGCCTGTGATTAGGRTGCAGGGAGTTGGGGTGGTGACCAGTGCTGCCAGCACGAGGCTCCTGAGCGTTGCTGGGAACCATATTCCCGTCCTGGGCTCCATGTGTCCGTGCAATGTGTCCTTGTCACCAGCTGCTGTCCAGCCCAGGCGCGCTTGGCAGCGTCCGGGTCCAGCTTTTCCCCCCAGCTGCCTCCTGCTCCCCAGCAGCTGCTCCCAGCCCCACGGGATCTCTCCCATCTCCCCACGGATCCCGGGGCACCTCCAGGAAGGAGTCAGTGGTGACGCTGCTGGTGGCTTGAGGCAAGTCCCCTTGTCCTTCCCCCCTGCCACAGTGGCCCCTTCCCTCCTTTCTGCTGATCCTCCCGCATGCAGGAGCATCCGGAGTCCTCAGCGCACAGAGGAAATAACCAGCGACTGTCTCCATCGCTGCAGACCCCGGCTTGGGGAAGGGGCTTCCCTTTTCGGATGCTCCTTGGGATAATGGGACAGCAGCCACCCCGGATCGTGCATGGAAAGCTGCTGCGTGGGCTGGGGAGGAAAATTGGCCCCGAATACAGCGTGGGGTTGGAGCTGCAAAGAGCGAGGGGAGGAAGGTGCTGAGAAGCCAGAAGAGGCTGGAGATGCCGCAAGGAGAGCTGGATCCTGGCTCTGGATCCATGTTGCTCCCTGCCTTCCCGGCTGGGAAGAGGTTTTCTGCAGGGCCTCATGGTGTTGTGGGCTCACGGTTCCTGCCCGGGCTCTGCAGAGAGCAGATGCAGCTCCGGAAATCCGGCTGCCTCTGAAAGGAGAAGTCTGGTCCCTTCTTGCTTGGTTGTTTCCAGATGACTCACGCGTCTCCTGAATCGGTCGAGTCGGAGGTCGGACGCGTGGTCCTTGGAGCAGCTGGGCTCCTGTCGCTGGGTTTGTCACAGGTCCCAATGCCACAGGTGCCTGGGCTGYGGCGGCAGGAGAAGCTCCTGCAGCCTCATGGAAATGCAGGTGCTGCCTTGAGCTTCACACAGAGCCTGGGAATCGTCGCCTGGCATCAAGCAGCGCTGATTTGGAGCAGGAGTTTGCTGGAGAGGGCCCACCTTGCGCACAGAATGCGGCTTAGCAAAGCGGACGCGCGCGAGCTGCCGGTGGGCTGGCCAGGAGAAATTCACTGCCTGAACCTAGCTCTTGGGATACACCATTTCTCTGCGTATTTTAGGGGTACCTTAAGTCTTTGTGACCCCCTTCCTCTCTTTCTCCAGAGTTCTGTTGAAGGCAGGGGGTATTTGCACCGTTTTTGTGCTGGAAGTGCAGGCTGGGCATGTCCATGGGCTGCACGTGGCACCTCTCCGGGGCAGAAGAGCTCTGAGCAGCTTATCCATCATCTTATCCATCCCTTATCCACTTATCCATCTCCCTGCTGGTTGTTGCGCTTTGGAGTGTGTTTATTTGATTGTCTCCAGGCCTCGTGCAGCCAGCAGCTCTTCCAGGTGGCTGTTTCCTAGCTGGAATGTTCTGGGAAACCCTGGAGCAAGCCCYGGCGTGAGCGGAGCCGGGAGCCCATCCCTGGATGCATCCTGCCTCCGGATGCAGCCCCAGCCCACCGGAGCCGGGCGCTCTGTTGGCATTTGGGGCTCCCAGCCCTGTTTATGCTTCTGTGCCAGGGGAATAAAATACAGCCCGGACACATGAGATGCCACCACGTGTCTGCAACGCGTAGGTCGCTCGCGGAGCCCGGCGCTCCGAGCACCCCCGGCAGCCGCAGGGCCGCTCCGGGTGTCCGTGGTGGTGGGAAGGCTCCAGCTGCCCTAGCTAAGGGTTTGGGGTGTCTCTTCGGACCCTCGTATCTGTGTGGTGGTGGGGAAGCTGTTGGAGGTGCTTGGCTCCTTCCCGGCCTGCTTGGCTTTGCCATGGGCTCTTTCTTAGTAGTCTGCGTCTTGCCAGACCCGGGAGGGTGCCGTAGCGCCAGAGCCCCTCGCGATTCCCTGCTGGAGAAGCAGGAGGCTCCTGTGCATCCCYSCWGTGCTTGCATCCCTGTGCATCCCTGCTGTGCTTGCAGCCCCGAGCTGCGTGGATCAGGAGGCGCTGAGGACCACTGGCCACCGCGACGCTGGTGATAGCCTCAGGCAGGAGCAGAGCCCACAGCAAGGAGCACGAGGGAGGAATTGCTTGGATAGCGGCAGCGGGATGCGGAGAGAGATCCGGACAGGATCCAGACYGGAGCAAGAGGCTCCAGTGCCTTGCTCTGTCCTCGTGGGGGCYGGCAGAGGTGTCATCCTCAGCACCCACCGCTGCTGTTACAGCAGCCCCCACGTGCACCCTGCACCCCAGCAGCGCCTTTGCGCCCTGCCCATGCCCCTCTGCTCTCCTGTCCCTGCAGAGCAGCTGGTGCTGGGGGCGCACCGGGAGCTGGCCCGGCGCTGGGACGCCGACTACGACGCCTCGGTGCTGCCGCTGCTGGACGAGCAGCAGCCCTGCTACCTCCTCTACCGCCTGGACAGCCAGAACGCCCAGGGCTACGAGTGGCTCTTCATCTCCTGGTCRCCCGACAACTCCCCGGTGAGCTCCCCATCCCCTTGCCTTGCGCCAGCCCGCGAGCCAGGGCAGCTCTGGGCGTGGGGGAACGTCCTCGGGCACCGTAGCAGGAGCAGGTTTGGGAGGTGATGGCTTAATTAAGCCTCAAGCGGGTGGCGGAGCTGGTGCCAAAAGCACAAAGCTGCATCTGGTGCCGCTTCAGGGAAGTTTGGTCGCACAGCCTCTCCTTTGGAAGGTTTTGTTAAAGGCATCCCGTTAAAGGCTTACCCAAGCTTTGGTGCTTTGTATAGAACTGCTGTTCTATATATTAAATAAAACACGTAGGCTCTTACCACAAAAGAATCTTACGCCAAAGGAGATTCTCAAAGTCCTTCTCTACAGAACACACCAAGGAACACTGTGAAAGAAGCGCTGAATGGAGCAAGAACAAAACGTTTTGCCTTGTCAGTGGGAAGTTTTTATGTGAAGTGYGTTGCCTCGCCACAGCCCGGTGGGGAAAGGTCTCGGTGCTCTCATTCCCTTGCTGTAGAAGCCTTTGCAGGGCTCTCTGTGGAGCCAGTGTCCMCTCTGCGCTGCTGAGCTCCTGTCTGGTTACCTGATTCCAGGGTGGAAATTTTCAGTAGCATCATCCGTTCGAGCTCTGGTTGGGGGCAGCTTGCTCGAGMTGTCCCCAAAAGCCGGGCTTTTCGGGGCCGATGCTGGCTCCATCCCTGTGATGCTCCTTGATGAGGTGGCTGCTGCTTTTAAGCAGTACTTCAGCCTCCCCTTGCAGAAACCCCAAGTGCAGATGCAAAAGCATTTTGTGACAAGCCCCTGCAGTGCCAGCRCCCTGAGAGGAGAAAGCAGAGCCCGGAACCAACCCGTGTGTGGTGGGATTTGCACCTTAGCTTGAGGACAGAGCACGGGAGGGCTGCACCGTGTGTGTGTGCACGGAGCTCATGGGCTCTGCTGCCTGCTCTGCAGCCTCTCCAGCTCGGGGCGAAATGAGCCGTCCCTTAACGCCAGAGAGGCTAAAGTTAGCAACAAAATCAAAACAGAACCCAGGCAGTTGCTTCCAGGTGGCTTCCAGGGCAATTTTCTGCAGCATGAGTAGCCAGGGAAAGGTTTCTGCTCCGGGAGAGAGGGCACATGTGACAGTGCTGCAATCTCAGACAGTTTTGATTTTTCCAGTGCTTATTGAAAACTCTCCAGGGCAGCACATTCCTGAAAAGCACAGAGATGCCTTTGGCCCCCATTGGGCTACCAAATCACCTGAAAGGAGCCAGTTTCCAGGGATGTTTGGAGTCTCAAAGGGCAGCAGCAGCTGAGATTTCAGTCGCAAATGAAGGTGGTGGCAGGAGAGGCTGCTGGCATAACGTGGGGCTTGCTGGTTTGTAAAGCTGGCCCTGCAGCTGAGAAGAGAGCCAGGAACCCCACGATCGCCCCGGAGCAGAGGCAGAGCTGCCCGGCTCGCTGCAGCCCTTATCTCTGACCGCATTTGCTGTGTCTCTCCTTGCACAGGTCAGGCTGAAGATGCTCTACGCTGCAACCCGCGCCACGGTGAAGAAGGAGTTCGGAGGGGGGCACATTAAGGACGAGATGTTTGGGACGGTGAAGGTAAGGGCACAGCTGCCCTCCCAAGGCTGCTTTTGCAGAAGGGATGGGAGGAAGGTTCCTAGGACTAGGAGTTCCTAGGACTCCAGGGGTTCCTAGGAGTTCCTAGGAGGTCCTAGGGCTCCAGCCAGCTGCTCTGTTTGGAAGGAAAACAAGTGCCACGCGGTGGCAGTGTCCCCCAGAGCAGAGCCAGGACAGTGCCCATTATCCGGGTGGCTTTCCCTGTCCAACACTGGTGGGTGGGAGGCTTTTCCTCTGCTTTCCTAGGGCGGTGTTGCCCGCAGGGCCCTGCTAACCAGCCCCCGGCGCTCCCCRTCCCGCTGTGTCCCGCAGGAAGACGTGTCCCTGAGCGGCTACCAGAAGCACGTGTCGTCCTGCTCCGCTCCGGCGCCGCTCACCGCCGCCGAGCAGGAGCTCCAGCAGATCCGCATCAACGAGGTGGGTGTCCCCGGGGCGCCCCACACCTGGGGCTGGGTGGCCTGTGCCCAGCGTCAGCTTTGGGCTACAGGGATGGCTCATTCCTGTTGAGCTCCCTGATGTCGTGTGTCCTACCAGGGCTCATGGTCAAGTATCCTCCAGCAAGAGGGATTTTACAAGCCTTTCCTTCTTCCTTTCCCTTTCTCCCTTTCCTTTTTCCTTTCCCTGCCAGGGCTTGTGCTCAGGTATCTGTTTCACTTGCTGGAATGGGCCATTAGGAGATGGTTGGTCCAAGGCTGAAGGTAGAAGGTGCTGTCTCGGATCCGCTCCGGACACAAGTGCGTTGGAATTGCAGGGGAAGGATTTCACGCTGCTCTTGATTCCAGCGTTGCACTTTGTCCTGCTCTTGCTCCCTAGCTATAAAGGACGGAGGCAGTCCCAAAAGAGTCTTCTCTGCAGCCTAAAATTTCCGACCTAGGTGCTGGGAAGTGGCGTGGGGTGGGATGAGGGCTGTAACACCCCAAGCAAGAGGCATCTCGCTGCGGTTGTGCTGAACTCCACGTGTGGACAGAGGAAACACGGAGGCCACGCTGCCTGGAAGCGATTGTATCCGTGGGGATACAGCCTACAACGGATTGTATCCGTGGGGATACAACCTTTCCCCATCCATGCCGCTTGCTTTTTCCCTGGCTTCTCCGGGGTGCTGCCCCATGGCTGGGCTGCAGGATTAAGTGCTTTTCTTGGCTGTGTCTTGCAGGGCAAGGCGGCCCAGGTAAGTGGTGCCTGCTGCTTGTTTGCTGCCTGACCTGCTGTGCTTTGCTCCCCGCGCCCCGGCCGGGGCTGCCCTTGGGAGACCTGGATGCTGAGTGAGGGAGTGAGTGAACGAAGCAGCTGCTGAAGGCTTTGGGGCAGGTTTGGGTTTTCTCTTTGCTTAGTTTTTATTTTAAAGCGACACTGTCCCCTGTGTAAGCCCGTGCAGCAGGAAGCAGTCGCCTGCAGGTAGGCAGAGGGAATCACCGCTGTGCCCGCAGCTTTGAAGGGGTGAAACCCAAAACAACTGGTTTGCAGCAAGGTCCCTGTGCGGGTGTGACGCTCCGCTCTTCCTTTTTCTTGGAGCAGGAGGCAGTGGGAATTGCTGCTCTGTCCCTCAGCCCCCCGCTAGGTTGCCTGGGATGGGGGGAAATTCAGGACTCTGCCACACGTGCARCTTAGGGTGAGTGTCTGAGGTGATGCCAAAGAGAGCGCCCTCATCCCGAGGGGCTTGGGAGCGTTATCCAAAGGGAGAGACTGCAGGGACTCGGACAGCAGCGGGATTGCAGCCACTTCACTGCTCGCTGCGCCCCAGGAGAGGTGCCCCCGGACCSCTGCACTTCGCAGACCCCTTAGTGCTTTGGGAGTGACACAAGGGACACTGTTCTTTAAAAGACACCGGCTTTTGGTTGAGCTGTGGCTGCTCTGCTGTGCATGAACCTGCCCCTCGCCGCTCTCCGCGCGCCTCCCGTCCTGGCTTTCTAACACTTTCCGTGCACGACCGTGTGAGATGCTGACCCATCTTCCCCCCGCAAAGGTGGATGGATTTCTTGCCTGGCAGAAGCTCCCTGGGATCCTCCGTAGGGAAGAGGCTTGGAAATGGCACAGGGTGGGATGTGAAGGATGGAGCTGCTTTGGTAGCAGCAGAGCAGCCCCCTGCGGTGGGATAGGCAGGGATGCAAGCAGGACAAGCCCTCTCCTGCCTGTTGGCAGGCTTTATTTTCATTTTTCCGACCAGTTTTCAGTTTACACAAGAGGTGCAAACGCGCTGCTAGGGAAGTGGTCAGTGCAGGCCTTCCCCTGAGAAATAAAAGTGGAAAAATATCTGCAATGTAACCGAGCTGCTCTGCACTGCTGAGGGTTTGAAAGCAGAACCGATGGCTCGTTCGAGGAGAGGGCAATAGTGTCAGTTCAGGTGAGTGTGAAGGATGGAACCGTGTTGGAGTGGCAGTTGTGCAGGGRGAAAACAGGCTGACAGGACTTGCAGGGATCGCTTGTCCCGGCTGGAAAGTTGCCCAGCCTCTGGAAAAGCAGGAGACGGTGTCTGAGCTTTGGCTGCAATTGGAGAAACGCRTGGAAAGAGGTGAGGCTGTGAGATGCCCTCAGGCATAGTGGGAGCCCTCAAGTGTTGCTCTTTCTGCTTTAAAGTGCTTTTAAGCAGCCAGAAAACACATTGGTGGCTTTGCCGAGCTGGTGGTTGTCAGCAGACAGTCCAGGAGCAGCTTTTAATGTCCGTGGAGCCGCGTTAATGCCTGCAGGAGGGGAAGGCGCTTCCCGTSCGCCCTCGGCGATTYCTCCCGTCTCGTGTCTGTGGGAGGAATGGGCAGCTCTGGACTTGTGGAAAGAGGCGAGGAGAGTGGCTAGTGCCCCCAAACCTCCCTTTTTGCCCAGGCTTCGAGGTGGCCATGGAGCGTAAAAGGGAAAAATCCAGGCCTTAAGGAACAGGAGCAAATGCGAGACCTGCACATGGAGGCCAGGGTTTGGGATGCAGCCYCCCGGGGTTGATGGTCAGGCCAGACTCACACGTACGTTTTAACAAGAGAAGGATGGGAAAATATCCTGGCGGAGCCATGCGCAGGGCTGGCATTGCCAGGACAAGCCTCGCTCTCCTGGGATTTCCCGCCTCTGGCGTGCTCGGCGCTGGAGCCTTAGCTCCGTGCTCCTGCCGGCRCTTCCAGCCTCGTGGGGTTTCCAAGGCCTCGCTGGTGTCCGGGCATCCCGTGGGGCCACGGAAGAGCCTGCTCGYCCTCCCGGGACAGCCCTTGAACGGGATGGCCCTTCTCCGTGGTCGCTCCTTGCTGAGGTGGGACGGGAGCTCCTCGGGGTCGCTGACAGCACCTCGGCCTGTGGGGATGGCCAGGGAATGAACTGGGAATGGCCGGGGACAGGACTGGGGAGCAGCCAGGGACGGGACTAGGAAACCTCTGCTGCCCGAGCGGCTTCCCCATCCCATAGGAGAGAGCAGGGTTGGGAGCAGAGGAGGGCACGTCCACGGAGGTGCCCAGGGCGGCGCCGTCCCCGCCGTCACCCCTCTGCTCCCCGCGTGCCCCCCGTCCGCTCACGTCTCCCGTGTATTCTCTCCTGCCCCTGCCCGCGCTCCCAGGACCGGCGCTCCGCGGCCCCTGGCAGAGAGACGGTAGGCGGCCGCCCGGCCCCCCATCGCGGCGTCCCCCGCGCGTCCCGGGGGGCTCCCCCTCCGGGACCCCCCTCACGGCCTCTCTCCCGCCCCCAGGACTCGCGGTCGCCGGACTCGAGCGGCGAGATGGTAGGAGCTCCGTGCGCGCCGCGGGCCTCGTGTCCCCGTCGCACGGGTCCTGCTGCATGTTGTGGCCCCACTCGGCCCCGTTTTGGGGGGGTTCCCGCCGTGATCCCGTCTCCCTGTGTTCTGTGGCAGATGGTAGGGGGCTGCTGCTGCTGCCCGGCGCTCCTGGAGGGCCCCGGCCCCACGGAGGTAGGCGCTGCCTGTGGTGTGTGCTGCTCCGAGCGCTCTCCTTCCTCTCGCCAAGGTCGCATCGCCCTCCGGGCCGCCTCCCGCCACGGGAATCGCCTCCGTCCCGGTGGATGTCCTGCTCCGGATGGAGGCTCCCGGTCAGGGGCGATGCGACTTCCCACCGGGAAGCTCCTCTTCCCTTCTCTGCTCTGTTCCCCCCTCTTTGGAGTGGGCTTTGGTGTCCCGGTTTGCCGGACACCTGGTTTGTCGTGTGATGCGGCGCCTCCGTCTGCTCGGGTTTGCTTGGAAAAAGTGCTGGGAACGTCCCTGAGGTGCGGATATCCCCTGCMGGCATCCCTCCCCACAGCCAGCCTGCCCAGGTGTACGTAGAAATACACATAAAGGCAGGAACGTAAACTAGTGCTGGAGAAAGGTGGATGAAACCGGTGGGATTTGGATATGCTCCTTGGTGGGAACAGTTGTGCAGAGGAGAGGAGGGGRGTCTAAGGCTGCAGGGCTGGGAAGYGCCGGCAYGGGGAYGTGTGGCTGGATCCGGGCTCYGGCAGCGGATTTGCAAGCGGTGCTGTGGGAAAGCCCGGCGTCCCTCTGGATTTTCCATGCTCCTTGTGCAGCGGAAGTGTTTCTTCCCTGGCAGGTGGCTCGTGGTGTGCCACACTGCGGGAACGGTGCAGGTTTGAGGCAGCCCTTGCTCCTGCTCGGGGCATCGGAGGCAATTTTGCCAGGAATCTCCTGCTTTTCCTGATGCGTCGGCGCAGTTTTGGGCTGCCTGGTGGTGCCTGAACGGCCGCGGTGACCCCGGGAGGGCACCCACAGGGGGGCTCTCCGTGTGCTGTGCCGCCCTGGCACCGGGAAAAGCCGAYTCCAGGCCGCCACCGCTGGCGTGGGCAGAAGGAAGCGCGTGGGCTCGYGCGGACAGCCGAGGGGCCGCGGGCTCGGTGGCCTGTCCCGTGTCCACCCTGTCCCCTGGTCTCTTCTGTGACGCTCGGTGCGGCTTCCACCCGCAGGTGAAGACGGAGATCAGCGTGGAGAGCAAGCACCAGACCCTGCAGGGCCTGGCCTTCCCGCTGCAGCCCGACGCCCAGCAAGCCATCCACGCGCTGAAGCAGAAGAAGATCAACTACATCCAGCTGGTAGGGCCCTCGGGCGGCTTCTCCGACCCTCCCCGAGCATCCTGCGCCTTCGAGACCTCGCTCACGTGGCCCTTCCCCGTGCCCTTGTCGCGTAGAAGCTGGATCTGGAGCGGGAGACCATAGACCTGGTGCACACCAGCCCCACGGAGCTGGCCGAGCTGCCCAAGAGGATCCCGCAGGACTCTGCCCGCTACCACTTCTTCCTGTACAAGCACTCGCACGAGGGAGACTACCTGGAGTCTGTGGGTGAGTGGTGGCCCTGCTCTTGTCCCTGTGCTCCCCGCAGAGCCGTCACTTCTCCCACAAGGGTCAGGACCAGGCAAGGTTGTCCACGGTGTCCTGCACGGTGCCGAGCGCCCTGCTCTTCTCTTGCAGTGTTCATCTACTCCATGCCTGGCTACAAGTGCAGCATCAAGGAGCGCATGCTGTACTCCAGCTGCAAGAGCCGCTTGCTCGACACCGTGGAGCAGGAATTCTGCCTGGAGATAGCGAAGAAGGTGAGTCCAGGAAAGGGARTGGGCCCTGATTCCCGCAAGGGAGTGGRCCCTGATTCCCRCAAGGGARTGGGCCCTGATTCCCGCAAGGGAATGGGCCATGCTCAAGTCCAAGGTGTGTGTCCAAGGGGCAGCGTGTCCCATGGATTTGAAAAGCACCTTCTCCAGGGAAGCCTGAGGGGCCTTGGGAAGGCTAGAGTCACTTCAAGGGAGCCTGAAGAGAAGGCTGGAGAAAATGGGAACAGTGGTGCGTTGTCTAACGCATTCCCAACAAGAATGTCCCCAGCACCAGTGGTTTGGGGCGAGATTCTCCTACCTCGTAGGAGTTTCTCCAGTCCAGGGCCTGGAAGAGAAGGAAGAGGGGAGGGAAAGACCCAAACGGTGAGAGCTGGACCCGCTTTGTGGTGTCCTTGGCCCACGCAACGGGGGAGCTGAGCGGGGGGCCAGTTGCACGGTGGGCTTGGTGCTTTCCCCTGGGAGAGGCTGTTTGGATTCCCTTGAGCAAAGCATGGAGCTTGGAGAGGAGGGATGGGAGGGCGCGGGGGGAGCCGCTGAGCCGGCGCCGCCCCGCCGCGCGCAGATCGAGATCGACGACGGCGCGGAGCTGACGGCCGAGTTCCTCTACGAGGAGGTGCACCCCAAGCAGCACGCCTTCAAGCAGGCCTTCGCCAAGCCCAAGGGGCCCGTGGGCAAGCGCGGCCAGAAGCGCCTCATCAAGGGGCCCGGCGAGAACGGCGAGGACAGCTAGGCGCCCGGCGCCGCCGCACGGGGCAGGAACAGGGCTCCGCACGGGACGGCCTTCCCCCGCTCCCGCCCCTCGCTCGCCGGCCTCTCTGCTGACCCGAGGGGCGTTTTTGTCCCCCCCATTTCAGACTTTCTTTTCCCTGCCCCTTCTCCTTTTCCTTTCCTTTCTGAACTCAGAACAGGCTGTTTCCGCCCCGGCGTGGAGCAATGGGGAGGGGGACAGGGAACYGGGGTGTATTTTTTGTTGTTTCTTTCCCCCATCCTTGTGCAAGTCCCGGGGCACTCCAGGGAGCACGGGAACAGCAGGGAACGTTTGCCCAGCTTGGTCTTCCCTCCGTTTACCTGGTACATTTTCCGGGCAGTGCGGGCGCCTCTTCCCCGTCCCCTCGTTGCCGATGGACAGGGTCCCCGCGGCTCCCRCTGCTTCCTGCGGGAAGAGCAGGGCCGGGCACACGGAGCAGCCTCAGCCTGTTCCCGGCTGCCGGGGCCTCCCCAGCGTGTCCCGTGTTTCCAAGGCCGGGCCTCGCCTGCCCTCCCGGGGCTCCCGGGGCAGGGATGGGAGCCCCGGGTTCAGGATGGGGGTCCAGGTCCAGGATGGGGGTCCCGGGGCAGGGATRGGAGCCCCAGGTCCAGGATGGGGGTGCCGGGTCCGGGATGGGAGCCCCGGGGCAGGGATGGGAGCCCCGCGTTGCCCCCGCCGCGATGGCCACCACGGTGCCCGCGTCGCCTCGGGGCCGCCGCGGAGCCGGGCCGGAGCGCGCTGTACTGAACGCTGTATTTTCTAAAGAATAAAGTATTTTTAAAACAGCTCGCGGCTCCTTCGGGGTGGCCGCGGGCCGGGCTGCTCTTTGTCRGGCAGGAGGCCACAAGTTSCTGCTCCGGCGTCCCCTGATCCCGACAGCTCCAGTGCAGAATCATGAAYGTTCAAGGTTGGAAGGGACCTCCAGAGATCATCCAGTCCAAYCTTCCTGCTCAARCAGGGACACCCAGAGCACAGGGYGGCATCCARGCGGGTTTTGAGGACCTCCAGAGAAGGAGACTCCACAACCTCCCTGGGCAGCCTGTTCCACTGCTCTGTCACCCTCACWGTASAGAAGTTCCTCCTCACMTGCAGATGGAACCKCCTGTGTTTCAGCTTATGCCCATTGCCCCTTGTCCYGTCACCGGGCACCAGTGARAWCAGCCTGTCCCCTTCCTCCCTGCATTCTCCCTTCCTGAACTTATACAYATTAATCATATCCCCTCTGAGCCKTCTCTTCTCCAGAGAAAACAGGCCCAGCTCGCTCAGCCTCTCTTCATACGAGAGATGTTCCATTCCCTTAATCATCCTGGTTGCCCTTCTCTGGACCCTCTCCAGAAGCTCCACGTCCTTCCTATACTGGGGTGCCCAGAACTGAACACAGTACTCCAGGTGCAGCCTCACCAGAGCTGAGGAGAGGGGCAGGATCACCTCCCTTGACCTGCTGGCAACGCTCCTCCTGATGCAGGCCAGGATSCCATTGGCCTTCTTGGCCACGAGGGCACACTGCTCACTCATGGTTAACTTGGTGTCAACCAGGACTCCCAGGTYCCTCTCCRTGGAGSTGCTTTCCAGCAGGTCGACCCCTAATCTGTACTGGTGCCTGGGGTTATTCCTCCCCAGGTGCAGGACCCTGCMCTTGTCCTTATTGAACCTCATGAGGTTCCTCTCTGCCCAACTCTCCAGCCTGTCCAGGTCCCTCTGGATGGCAGCACAGCCCTCCGGAGTGTCGGCCACTCCACCCAGCTTGGTGTCATCCGCAAACTTGCTCAGGGTGCATTCCGTGCCCTCGTCCAGGTCATTGATAAACAAGTTGAACAGCACTGGGCCCAGYACTGACCCCTGGGGGACACCACTGGCCACAGGCCTCCAGCTGGACTCGGCCCCATTTATGACCACCCTCTGAGCTCTGCCATCCAGCCAGCCCTCGATCCACCGCACCGTGCACTCGTCTAGCCCACTGTCCCGGAGCTTCCGTATGAGGATGTTATGGGAGATGGTGTCAAAAGCCTTGCTGAAGTCAAGGTAGACAACATCCATGGCTCTCCTCTTATCCAGCTGGCCAGTCATCCCATCACAGAAGGCTATGAGGTTCGTYAGACATGACTTCCCCTTGGTGAATCCACATGCAAAGGTGGGAACTCATCGCCTCCCACACAGGGAGGAGGGCTCCTCCTGAAGGCCTGTGGCTGGTCAACGTGGCCACCGCCCTCCAAGGCGAGGAGAAGCCGCAGGCCGTTTCCTCCAGGATGCAGCAGATCCCTCCAGGAGAGSCGCAAGCCCCAGTTGGCTCCCAGTGGGGCTGGTGGCCACCACGAACGCACCCTTAGGGCCCATATTTGGCCATTTCGGGGTGTGAGAGCTGCCCCACCACCCCCCAAAAAGGCTGTGGGGGTCCCGATAGGCACTGGGGAGGTGGCTGGTGGGCAGCTCCACGCTGGAGCTTGTGCCGCTCCGGTGTCGCCTGCTCATGCAAAGCACAGCGTTTTGCCCACGTGGAGATGGGTCCCCATGCCCTGGTGCCCAGCACATGGCACACGGCTCTGCCTGCAGGAAAAGGGCCCCAAAACGCAGCAGGGATGGAGGGTGGCCGAGGAGCTGCAGCAGGAGGGGTGGGAAGAGGGCGCTCCTCTCCGTGGGATCCYGCCGCGGAGCAGCACGAAGGAAGGGACTCCAGGAAGCTGCTTAGGCTCCTGTTCCCCAGAGGACACAAAGGGCCGGGTCCCAAATCACTGGTGTTTGTTGTTCAGCGGCGCCTTGCCCGGACCCTGCCCAGACCCTGCCCAGACCTTGCCTATATCTTGCCCGGATCCTGCCCAGACCTTGCCCAGACCTTGCCTAGACCTTGCCCAGACCCTGCCCACGGCTGCAGCCCAGCACAAGTCCCAGTCCTGCCAGGGCACCAGCCCTCGGTGCCCCTGGGCCGCGCAGGCCGCGGGGACACAGRGGTTTCACTCTCCAATGAGGGCAAAATCCAGCCCAGATCCAGGACAGGAGTGACTGCTTTTGCTACTCCAAGCACAAGCTTGGGAGCATCAGGGTGCTGGCTCCCTCTGTCCCATCCCATCAAGAGCTGAAAGGCAGAAGGGCTGGTGGAATCACAGCCAGGCTTGCTGCCCCTCTCCTTCCCACAAGGATCCGCATTGTTTTGTGGCGGATCTTGCCCTGGGGTGGCTTGTCCTGCGTTGCTGGCTGCATGGGCATGGAGAGCTTGCAGCGGGCTGGATTGGGCCGTGGTTGGTGATGGAGCTGGGGCTGGATCAGCCGTGATTGAGGATGGAGACAGAGGCTGGATCAGCCATGGTTGCTGATGGAGACAGGGGCTGGATCAGCCGTGTTTGCCGATAGAGCCGGAGCTGGATCGGCTGCGGTTGCCGATGGAGCCGTGCCACCTGCTGGGCACCAGGAGCCGGGAGCGCGGCCGCTCACCTCGCACGGGGACATTTGCGGCCTCTCTTTGCACAGGGAGCCACAACTGGGGAGGTTTCCAGCGCTGCCAGCCCTCACCCAGCCCCGGAACCAGCAGCGGCACCRTGGACTGACACCCCCTTATCCGGAGCTCCAGGGAGAGGCGGCTCCTTGGAGGCGGCAGCAGCTGCTCCCAATTCCCCGTCAGGCTCCCCGGGCAGGTGCTGCCTATAAATCCCCCTGCCCTGCTGTGGGAAGGGTTTAGTCCCAAGGGAGGCTCTGCTGCTGCTGGGGTGTCCTCCAGAGGGGATGGAGTGGAGGCAGGTCGGCTGCTTCCAGAGRGGTAGGAATGCTGCGGTGGGTGGGAATTGCCTCGTTGGGGTTTCCTGGCACTGGGAGCAACGGGGAGCAGGGCAGCTTTGGGTGCAGTGACCGGTGCTGGGAGCTGGGCTGCTCCATGGAGCAGGGTKTGGGATGAAGCTCTGGGCAGCGGTGCTTTCCCTCCCCGGGTTGTGCCCGGGAGCTCGGCCTGTCCTGCTGGGATGGGGTGAGGAGCTGCCGAGCTTGGATGGGTTGGAGAGGCTCTGTGTTGTGTTAGGAGCGGGTGCTGGTGTCACCCTCGTGTTGGGGCTCCTGGGTGCCCCTCTCTGCTGTGGGTTCAGGGTCCTGTCCCTGCAGCTCCCTCGCAGAGCAGCGTGTCCTCGTTGCAGGAGGAAGGGCTGTCCCCGAGCCCTGCGTGTGCAGCGCCTTCCCCTGTCTCGTGGCTTTGCTGGGGGGTTTTMAGCCGTTTCCCAAATAGAGGAGGTTCCTGAGCTCCTGATCCCGGCTTCCTCCTCCAGAAGGGAACCCAGCGGTTGTTTTCAGCTGCCTACAYGGCCCGGCTAGAGGGCTGGTGGCAAACAGAGGCCACCAAGGCCTGAACAGGAGCAGCTTATCCAGTATGAGGGCAGGGGCTCTTTCCTTTAGCCAGTCTGGGTGAAACAAGAGCAAACTTTTCACATTACCTCCCCATTAGTGTGAGATGTGTTCCTCATCCCAGGATCTGGAGGTGTTTTGGGGTGTTTTTATTGTGTTTGTGCCCTCTTGGTGTTGTCCTGTTGGGAAGCAGAGATGGTTATGAGGTCTGGGTTGTGGAATTCAGCTAACTGGATGGTGTTGGACCCTGTGGATCCACAGCTCCTCACAATGACTTTACAGCTGGGCTCTTGCTTGTTCTGGCAGTGCTATGAACCGTTTTGGGGGAGTCTGAACATCTTCTGTTAGTTACTTCCCTCATTATTCTCCARGAATGCATTGTACATGGTACTTATGTGATTACAACCAGTTATGCAATCTGCTATTGAAGCTTTGTTTGCTGGGAAACAATATGTGTTTGTTTCTTCATTCCGTGTCCTTTTCAATGTGGGAAAATGATCCTTTCTGTTTGGATTTGTCGTTCTTTGGGTTTAAGCGAYAAACTTGGCTGCCAGCCTCATGCTTGAACATGGGCTCTACTCTCACACCTTTATTGGAAATAGGATTTAAGGAAACTTGTCGCAGGTGATGTGGAGGGAGTGGAAGTGGGAGTTGCTGTGTGCTCAGCCTGGCTGTGTGGCCTGCATCTTGAGTGCTGATAACCTTGGGAGCTGCTTCCCACCCACCGCTAACTTGGAATGATGTGTGGCAGATTTTCCATGTTTTGTCTCTTGTAAGACTTCTAGAAAAGTARTTTCTACAAAAAAAAAGGCTTATTAACCAGTATGCCAAGTCTTTTGGGCCAATTATGTGTGTTATTTGTGAAGAAACCAGAAATGCAGTAACCTTGTGGTGTCAGAAACTGTGTCCCTTTACTCACACRTGGATTGCTTACCCGAGTGCTCAACATGGCATTTAGGGACATTATGTTGCTTAATGTTGTTAGGACAACTTTGTTCTAGGAGAGGTTGCTGCAGGATCCGTGGCTTTTATTTGAACCCCACAGTGCTCAGTATCACTCAAAACAGTGGGCCTTGCAGCTAGCTGAGCAAGTGTGTGACAGAAGGGTCAGCATTTACAAGAACCCAGTCTAAATGCCCTCCTCACCTGCAGAAAAGATGCCTCCTCTATAGCACAAGCTATAGCTTATGTTTTTGCGTGCATGCTGTATCATAGCTGCGTGTTTTCAAAAGCCTTCAGGTAGAAATTCAAGCACACCTAAAAATAAGCAGCTTCCCCTCTTCATAGAGACAAACCCAGCCCCTGTGGTACTGCTCTGGCTTGCCCCCATTGAACAGGCAGCACGGCAGCTGGAAGGCTTTAGCTTGCAGACCACTTTTTATTCCAGTAGGTCCTTTTCCAACCATGGACAACAAGCGCTGCTTATGGAGGTTAAATGAAGTAAGCATGAAGAATACAAGTGGGTGCAAGGGCTCCAGGAGTTTATTCTCAGAGCTTAGTGCTTCAACTATGATTAAAATGCTTATTAAGAATTTAAAAATGCTACTGACGGGGTCCTAGAGCTACACAAGATCGACACTGTGACTTTCAAGCACTGACAGACACCAGTTTGCTCATGCCACTGAAGTAGGATCTTTCCCGTTCACTCATCACTTCGAAGTGCAGAGGTCTTCTACAGAAGTTGCATTCAGCTGAAGAGTGGGGTTTCAGCTCCAGACCAACATCCTTCCACGTTGCCAGGAGTTTTTCTGTTACGAAAAACAGGAGTTTGAGACCAAATCTTGCTTAGGATGCCAGATCTCTTTAGTTAAATGGAACAACAGTGTATATATTTCCCTAGCAAATGAAATGGGATACTAGGAATTCAGTTTGACCTAACCTGGAGTTAGGTGATTGGGTCTTCTCACAGGGCCAGCGAGCACTGAGGCTCCCTAGACATGTCTGTGTTTAAGAGGAGGAAATGCTTCAGCTTAGGAGGGCAAGTTTTTTTTGGACCCCAGGTAGCAAATATTAAGACTGGTTTGAACCATGTAGAAGAGAAGATCAGGTGCTGCCCTGGCTTTGTGCTGCACTCCAGATCAGAATGCACTGGTTCTCACTAGTCATGCACAAAGGAAACCAAGCACAGGAGTAGGAGTATTGCAGCACTCCTAKACATTGCCCAAGCCAGGATTGAGTATTTCCTAGTCTCATCTTTAGCACAGACTGCAGAGTGTCCTGTATTTTCTTCAGTGTTKCAAGAAAGCACTCACCAAGGAAATAACTCATCATCTGCGGGGTGTGGTGAGGTGTAGGGGCAATACGTAGCAGCTCCTCTCCCCGGGGAACTGTGGGGTAGTTGATTGCTTGGACGTAGATGCTGTGCTGGCTCATGAGCTTGTCGCAGATCTCTGTGTTTTTAGCAGCATCTGCAACCTACAATTCAMAGTGGGTAATTAGGAGATTATCCAAAACAAGTTAATAGAACTCTTAACCAATTTAGCTACCTAAAAAGAATCAAGACTGTTCTTCCTTGCGTGGGTTAATGGATTATACTGCAAAGAGGGGCTAAAAGGTCACCCCAGCACTGAGGCCCAGGACACATCACTAACCTCAGCAGGCAGCTACTCACGCCTGCACTTTTCAGCAGTTTGTGTGGCCCTCTCTTCCTTTTGTACAGTGTTAGATTGCAGGTTTCACACTTGCTTATCRTTCTGCTTTAAAGCACTTGGAGGAGGCTAAGGTTAATTTAATGATTTCCTATTTGATTGATTTCCTAGAATTGCCTATTCTTTGGGCAAGGAAGAGAAGCCAGACTGCTAGCTGATCATTTAGCCAGACTGCTGATGAGTTGCACAGGCTTCCATGTGGTGAATCCTTACCAATAACCTGGAAAATGCCCTTACAGGCAGCACGTGTCCCTTGGAGCTCTCCTAAGGACTCACCCTTATGGGAATGATGTGGCTGGGGCAGTGCACCACGGGCAGCCCCGCATCCATGAGCATCTGCCGCAGGAGCTTCACGTTGCGCTGGTGCTGGCGCCTCAGGACTTGCCCCTCGGGGCTCTTCAGGGTTCGGACGGACTCCAGGGCCCCAGCCAGCAGCATGGGGGGCAGGGAGGTGGTGAAGATGAAGCCGGCGGCGTAGGAACGCACGGTGTCTATTAGGGAGCTGGTGCTGGAGATGTACCCTCCTACGCAGCCAAAGGCTTTGCCTAAAAAGAGAGGCAGCCAAGCTTAGGCCTTCCACCCTTTAGGATGGTTTGAGTGTAGCTGTACTTTGTTTTACGTGAGCAAATTGTTTTGACTATGTTAAGCACATGGCAGGCAACGGTTCCAGCCCTCCCAGTACTAATCTTGTATTAACTCAGCACATGTTGCAGCTTTGTTTTGAAACCAATCCTGGTAACCCAGACCTAGCTACTGCAGAACGAGGACAGTCCAAAACCCTCTGTTCCAACTAATCGTGTTCGCATTCAGGGAAGATCTCATAAGCAGAAGCATCAACTGCACCAACTTCAGTGGTGACCCCGAATGCTCAACACTAAGTCTCTCAGCAGATTTAAAGTAATCTGTCCTGGGAATGCTAGAAATAGCCCGTGCTCCTCAGGAGCACAGAGGTTACCGTTGATTACCGGGTGGACAGCAGCTCTCCTTTTCCAAAAGCAGGGGACTGTTCAGGTACCAGAAGAGAAACCCAAATAAAGTATGACTGCTGTACTTTTTAAGCTAAGATGAAATCTTACCAAGTGTAAAAGATAGGAAGTTCTGTAGTAAGTTTTATTTATGTTTTGGAAGTTACTGAAACAGTGTATCAATCTGCAGCAGCAAAACTTACTTTCTTCAGGCAGGTGTCCATTTCTTGTCAAATCTCTTTATTTATCTTCCCATCTTGTGTTTTCAAGTTAGAAACACTCCATTTCACATAAAAACTGAGTACTAAATATAGGTTACTACTGTGCCAGCGTTCCCACCTGGAGTGGTACAATGTGCTGCTGGAGGATTTTTGCTAGCTTGTTGAAATAAAAATGCCACCTCGACTGGTTTGCCTGCCTGTGTAAGCAGCTTAACACAAATGCTTTTGAAAACTTATGGGACATGCACTTAAATCCTTTGAAYTCCTTGAAAAATCCACCCCTGTAATTCCCTAGCAAGTTCACTCAAAAAGACTAATTCTGAGTTAACCCAGTGGATCTGGCTGCCRGTAAGCTCTGCTGGCCACACATACCCAGCGTCCCCGAGATGATGTCCATTTTGTGCATGATTCCGTCGCGGTCTCCGATGCCGCCGCCTCGAGCTCCGTACAGCCCCACGGCGTGCACTTCATCGACAAAGGTGATGGCCCCGTGCTCGTGGGCCACGTCGCACAGCTCCTCCAGGGGACACACGGCACCTGGCAATCAAAGCAGGGGCACTTGAGGATGCCCTGTGCACCAGAGGTACCCAAACATGAGGCATTTTGAAAGAAAGCATTTGATTTTCATGCCAASCCTTGCAGCATTTCACACTCCTAAATCTAAGATGCAGATAATTTGAGCATGAGTTGCACTACAAAGAGGAGGTGGGTTTATGCTGCCTTACCATCCATTGAGTGAACAGTTTCAAAAGCAACGATTTTAGGTGTAGATGGATCAGATTTCTTGAGTAATTCTCGGAGGTGGTTGACGTCGTTATGACGGAATATGTGCTTTGGCACTCTGCTGTTCCGGATCCCTTGGATCATGGAGGCATGGTTTCCCGAATCGGAGTAAATCTCACAGCCTGRGGGAACAACCCACAGACATTTTAGGTACACAAAGCATTACATGATTCCCAGCATCGTGTTTTATATGGGAAGCATTCAAGGGGCAAGGGTGGTGTGTTCTAGAAATTAATGCTTTTGATAAAGAGTCCAAGTTACAGGCTATTAAGCAAGAGAGGTATTTAAGGCTTGTTTTAGCTTTTTAACTAAAACAAATTTGAGTTAAAGGAAATCCTAAAGAAAGTTTTATTTTTTCTTAAACAAGTTCTTGGGGTTCTATCTAATTCTTTTAAAAATTGCGGAGTTAGAGTGGACCTCTCCTGGGCTACAGGTGKGAGAGAGAACAGGAAAAGCTCATACCCACAGATAGAAAGAACCCAAATCCCTAGTCCCTAATTTTTAGGTGGCTTCAAATGCCAGAGCAGAAGACCTGGAGCCCTTTTGTCTCCGGCTGTTTTGGGGCTCCTAGGCTCTGGACCTCAGGTTCATCAGGCTGCTACTGTGATTTGCAGAGGTGAACACAATTTCTGTGGCTTTCAAACAGATGACCTACTTTACTGGCAGGGTAGAATGAATTCTCAAGTTTGAGCACTCATTTGTGATTCCTGCTCCTAACTAGAGTACAGGATTAGGTCTTTGCAGTAAATATGGGATGCAGATTGAGATCTCACCTGGCAGCATTTTAGCTAGAGTGAAGAGGGTGGAGTCATTGGCTACAAAGCAGGATGAGAACAATAGTGCTGCATCTTTTCCATGAAGATCAGCTAGCTCTTTTTCCAAATCAACATGGAATTTACTTGTTCCTGAAATATTTCTTGTGCCTCCTGCTCCAGCACCGTGTTGTTTCAGTGTATCCCTATAGAGTGCCCAAAGAGAGAGGCATTAGTGTTACTGAGCAACACAAGGATCAATACAGGATCATGGCTGAAAACATTCTACATGGAGAAATAGGTTTTTCTGAAAAATGGGCTGTGAGAAGCAACTGTTACTTTTGAGGTCTCTGAGCAGCTTGTGCAGCTCAGGGATTCAATAAGCTCCTGTATCAAGTACAGCTACAACAGGCAAACCAGTTTCTGGTAACATTTAGGGGCTCCTGAGGAAATTCAAGGGTCAGGAACTGGCAGGTTATGTTGTAGCCCTGGGGGGGGGCAAAAACATTAAGTTGCCTAGTATGACTCAAGAGGAGAGTAAAAGCGTTAGGACTTAAATATATAGAAGAGCAATCCCAGAACTAGCTTATGAAATACAGTACAGAAAAAGTCTATTAAATTGCTGCCTATAAAAGCTTCTATAGGTCACTGATTGCTCTTAAAGAGCACAGCACTACTCACATGACAGCCCCACACACTCGAGGGTGCCGACTCATCCCCAGGTAGTCATTGCTGCACCACACGGACACCTCCTTTTTGGTGATGAGGGAATCAGAGTAGTCATCTGCCATGGGGAAGATCTGTGCCTTTCGGTTCACCGTTTTGAATATTCGATAGGTGTGATCCTTCTTCTTTTCATCTATCTTCTTCTCAAAGAACTGATCATACTGGAAGGTGGACACAGCTGAAATAAGACAGACTTAAGTACCCAGGAATTAACCACAACAGAACAGGCTACAGGGGTTTTGCGAGTTAATCTTACATTTTGGCAAGTTATCCTGGAGCAGATGAGAGACACTTTCTGGCCTCTGCTTTAGCATAATATCCTTAAACTTCTTAAGCAAGCCGCTCTGCTCTTCTCCCTCAGCCTGGGTGTTTTTCACAGTGGAATTAGTTGGTGTTTTGGCCAATTCTGCACCTACAGATGCTGTAAGGAATTCGAGAGAGCTTAATCCATTTGAAATAAAATGGAACAAGTAAATTATGAGTCCAGCACAGCCAATACTGTGACTTTATAACCCATTATTCTTTAAGAGCATGTAATAGAATCTGTGTGGGATCCTGTTGGGATCAGCTATCTCTTTGCTTATAATTTTACACTGTACGAGGCAAAAGGGAAAATGTAGCTTGCTAATTGATGGCAAGACAAGATTTAATTTCTTTCACTATATCTGGCTTACACTGACTAACAAACCCGTTCTTTAAGGCAACAGCTTCCATCTGGAACAGYTGGTACACAGCTAACTGGAGGCAGCAGCTCTGGTTTCAGCTTCCCCTTTTTCCCAGCATTTTGGTCAGTTCACAGGGAACTTTTTTCCGAGCCACAGAGAAAAGCAAAGTAAAAAACTTCCTTTCTGAGAAATGCAGCAAAGTTTTACTGATATGGCTGAAAAGTGATTTTCTGCCTAACTGTCATAAGCTTTTATTTGAAGGACAGCCTCTCTACACCAAGACTGCAAGGCGGCCAGCATCCTTTTGTTGCATTAAACATAAAAAAGGCTGCTTGCCCTCCTTTACAGCTTGGGTTTGTGCTGCTACTTGCATAGTATCCGTCCTGATCTTTCTCCTATGGATGTATTTGTGCTTTGGTGAACTCACCTGAGTCCTAAATGCCTATACTGGGTGCGTTAGAGCTTGATGCACATTGCAAACCGGGAAGCTCTTCCCACATCAACCCCCTGGGAGAAACCATCGCGGAATACAACCTGTCTGGCACGAGCACCCATGCTCAGTGGGATGGGGTGCAGCCTCCCACAACTGTATCCGGAGTTTAAGGGGTGACAGGCAGGACCTGGCGGGGGATACGCACCCTTCCTCTCGGCCTGCATCTCCTGCACGTCCTCCTGCAGCTCCAGGCTGGCCTTGCAGAAGACGCTGCTGCTCCCGTGGGTCATCTGGGCGGCCAGGAAGGGGCACTTGGAGGAGCCGGCGGGCGCCGGGGATGCGCTCGGCTCCGGCTCGGCCGCCTCTCTGCTGCCTTTGGCCTCTGTGGTGGGGACAGAGGGAACAAGTCGGTTCTGTCATTGAGAGTCRCTTAGGGTTTTCTGTTTCCCGAGTGATCTGGCACGAGCCAGGGCTCTTCCACTGACACCTGCCTTATTTATATAGCCTGGAATTCCAGCCGGCCCCCAGGGACGCGGGTTTGAGATCCCGGCTCACCCGTGTGTCCCTTGAAGGGGACACGCTTTAACCCCGGGGCGCGGGGGACACCCCGTTTTGAGGCGTTTCCAGCCGTTTCCCCGCGGCCGCCCCGCCCAGGCCGCAGCCCCCGGCCCGGGGCAGGGTCCCCGCGCCCCCCCGGTCCCCGGCGCTCACCGTGGCGGGCGGCGGGGGTCTCCTCGGCCTGCTGGCGGCGGGCGGCCGAGGTGGCGACGGCGCGGGCGGGCGGCGCCGCCTCCATCATGCGCGGGCAGTGCTGGGCGTAGAGCAGCAGCGAGGGCCCGGCCTTCTGCAGGAAGGCCTGGGGCACGCGGGCCAGGAAGGGGCAGCTCCGCACCACCGCCTCCATCGCTCCGGTTGCGCTCCGGTTCCGCTCGCTCCGGTTCCGCTCCGCTCCTCCCCGCGGATGTGGCGTCAGCGGCCGCTCGCCACACACTGCGGTGCGGCGCCGCGCGCGCTCCTTTTATAGCCGCGGCGGGCTCTGCGCATGCGCGCTGCCCCCGCGCAGCCCTCCCCTTCTCCCCTCACCCCCCCTCCCTTTCCCCACAGGCGCGGGGCTGTCGCCGGGTCCCCCCGGTCGCTGCTTTTCCAGAAGGATCCGAGCCAGGAGAGCCGGAATCCACCTTTCCATGAGGGAAAAGCGCCTGGCCCAGAGCCGGAGAGCGTGCAGTGCCGCTCGTGGGGCTCCTGACACGCACCCCGGGCCCGCAGCTGGGTTGTCAGCATCCCCGAGTCGATGTGGCGGGTGGGTTTATCTGTGCATCCGTTTGCAGGGATTTTATATGTTTTCCTCTCTTGGTTTTGCTTCATGCTTTGTGGTGCCAGGCGGGAGCTCTGGTGATCCCCACCACCTCCACGGTGCTGGTTGTGGGAGCACTCCCAAGGTGTCACGAACCGCCGAAGCACAGAAGGAATCGGGAGAGGAAAAACACCATGAAAACAATGATTTCACCCCAAATGGCTTCCACATAGTGTAAAAGACAGCAGTGGGAAACCCCACGARTTTTCCTGGGCTCACTCTGGGTTCGTGTCTGCCTGTCATTAAGGTTTGAGGGACTGGTCGGCATTTGGACACCAGAGGCCATGGAGACATCAGCTCTGTGCAGGGCTGGGGCTCCCAATGTTCCCCTTTGGAGGCACAAGGAAGGCAACGCTCAATATTTAGTGCTTCAGAGGAGTTAKGTGTGGATTAAGCTGTGAGTGGGCAGGGGACGGACCAGCAGAATCGTTACCTGATCCCTGTCTTCATCAGCTGGTCACAAACCAACTTTGTGGCCTGAATGAGCAGCCCATGAGGGAGCTGAATGGACCCGCTGTCGGCTCTGGGGTGTCCCCAGGACCCGCTGTCGGCTCTGGGGTGTCCCCAGGCTCCAAAAGGGCCCTGGAATGGAGTTTGGCCCTTGCATTCCCCTTTTGGAGCCCTCCTCTTGCTTGTTAGAAAATTAAAATAGCATCAATTAGTGTCTTAACACACAACATTGACTCATTATTTCAGCAACATTATCTAGAAGTTACCATTAAGCTACAATCTACTTTTTTTTTTTCCAGTTGGTGTCATTAAACTGTGGTTCTATAAATAAATGATTAAGCCAAGTCTATGGGATTTAATCCAAGCCTGTACAATGGTTGTGATACCAGTCTTGGTCACTCGGTAATACCAGGCCAGTGCTCCAAATTACTGTCCAAGTTTGTTAATGAAGAGAGCTCTTTTCTTCATAACTGTCTCTCGGTTGCTGTCACATGCCTGGAGTATTTATATTTTGCAAAAAGTAATAGTGATTAAACTATTAATGAAGTTTAAAGACACCTGATCCGTTTGGGTTGGCGGCTCCCTCACAAGCACATTGGACTGTCTACCCTTGAGCTGTTGCTCACATCAGTTGCATTAAAAATTGAGGAAGGAGATTATTAAAATTTACAGTGCAGATACAAGGTGAATTTCATCAGAGCAYAGAGCTGCATTTCTGAACCTAAGGGATCATTCCCCTGTTTTTTGGATTAATCTCAGTATTTTAACGCCAGAAACTGAGTCTGATATGCTTGACTTAGAGTACGTTGGTGGTATTTGTCCTTCTTTTCTCATACTTCTCTTATTCTGACCCTGTGCTACTTAATTCCAGAGGGACGGAAGGAATATTTCCCTAACAGCAAGGTGTTGTGCAAGTCCSCTGGCAGAGCAGCCTGCCAAGCTCACCTGTATGGGTCCAATCCCACCCAAATCTGATAATGCTGCTTTGTCCTAATAATCTCAGAAGCAGCACCTTGTTGTGTTGCAAGGTTGGGGGTGAAGTAGGCTGCTCTCTTGCCAGAATATGGAAACTTGTGCTCTTAGGTTGAGAAAAGCCCATGTAAAGTCTGTAGAGCATCTGCTTGTTACCCAAGATAACTCAAGGTTGGGAGCTGAGGCAAAGTGACCTTCACTGAGATACTGAGATCTCCAAATGGTGCCAAACTCTTAGCATTCCTGTCAAACKTTCTTAAAATCTATGATATTCATCGGACGCTCTAATAACAGTGTTTTGAAGCTTGTTTCTGGTAACCTAGCCTTGTATGTGACAAGCTGCCCAGAGCGAGATAGCAACAAAATGACATAAATTTAACCCTTATCWTGGGGAACTGCCCAAGCAGAGTGTAACTGTCAGTGCACAGAGATGGTTATAAGCTCTAAGATGAGCAAAACGGTGGAAAAATAGTGGTAAAATTAGGGGGAAATGGTGTCTTCTCCACTGCTCTGCCAGTTCACTCACTTTGGGAATTCTAGGTCATGAAGTAAATGCTACTAAATGTATCAGTGATGAAATTTTCTCAAGGCTTTGGTGGATCAAATAAATAGTAGGTGAGGATTTTAATTGTGGGGCTGTATTGCCCTTGTGGTGCAAGGCTGAGGGGAGACCAGCAGCAGGGCCGTGCAAATGCTGCTGGCTCTGCTCTGCRAGGAGGCTCTCGGACCCGCACGCGATGGTACCTTAATAGCAGGGAATGCATTCCAAGCGGGAAAACCTCAGCGTGTGCAGCCTGTCGGGAGGTGGATGGTGGGCCCAGGAGAAGCAAGTTTGCTGCCTGTGAATAAATAAAGGACAGGGCAGCTTGTACCAAAGGAGGAAAGTGATTTAAGCTGCGGGGATGACAGTGCTGTGAGGAGACACTCTTACCCTGCTGGCCAGGAGGAAGCTGTGCTTGGAATCTGAGTGGTTCCTCGCTGTAGCTGTGCTTGGGAACAGCCCCTGGGTCATGGAGACCGAATCCCTGCTGGCTTTTTGTAGTGGGATTTTGATCTGCTGGAGAGGCTCGTGTGATGGAGCAGCGCGGGAAGAGCTCAGTTTCCCTGAGGGTCTCTTCTGATTTTAATTTCCCAAAGCTCATTCCATGCTGGTGACTTGTCTRTTTGGTTGCTAAATAAGTTGCAAGAGGGGAAAAACATTGAATTCCAGCAATCTCAAAGGGTGCTGAGGGGCAGTAGAAAATTCTTCCCTCATAGAAATCTAAAGAGGGGGTGAAAAAATCCCCTACCACAAGGTCAAGTTGATTTCTGCAGATGTCCAAGAAAAGTTGCTGTTTTTCTTCCCATATTACCAATTTACCATACAGGCTGAGATGGAAATCACCCTAACACCTCCCTGCTGCCCCTCTGCTCTCTAACAAGCTTTCCTAATATTCCTAGAAACAGAACTTGACTAGCAGTTTGCAACCATAATCCAGGCATTTTAGCTCTCCTGATGGAATTTGGGTGGATTTTTTGATCTCTAAAGAAGCTTTTAGGTTCTACAGGAGAAAAGCAGGAGTCAAAGCCCCTCTGCACCCAGGTTATCCAAAGGAAACCACACAATGGACCATTAAGAAACTTAACCCCTTCCCAAGCTGCACTCATTTCCCATTTCTTCTCACTTTCTTAGTGCAACAAAAGGGCAAGTTGGAAAAACAACCCCCTTTCCCTCCCACACAAATCACTATCCGTGTGGAGTTCAGAATTTTGCAAAGGAGTGGATGTGATCCTGACATCTGGACTTCATCCAGACTCAAATTCCAGGCGTGCATCTAAGAATTTCCACTTCCAGTGCTGAGACCAGCAGTTCTTAGAAAGCCCTGTTCCTTTTAAGGCAAAATTCTAGGGCTGCAATGGTGGCAGCACAAGAAAAACTTCTCCCACAGTGAGTTCCTGCAGTGTTTTTCCCCCTTCTCCTCCTCATTTGGCTCGAGTGCTCTCCCTGTCTTTGGTGACAGAAGAGGAAGGCTCCTTTGTGTGGAATCTCATGAGGATTCCAGCAGGCAGGAGGAGATGCTGCATGCTGATCTGTGGGATATTTGGTGGCCACTAAGCGAGCAGCAAACCCAACTTGGAGCCACTGCATGGGCAAGCTCCTTACCTGGGGTCCTACAAGCAAGTGGCTTTGCTCTTTGGTGCAGCAGATGGGTTTATAAAGCCCTGAGCTGCTCGTGGGTGCTTTGGGAGCAGGTTCTTCCCTGCCCACGGAGCCCAGGTGCTGCTGGTGGGTGCAGGGAGCTCCCACAGCTGCGTTGGAGCAGGGTGACTCAGGCGCAGGTGGGACGGGACAAGCTGCTGCCACCCTCACGCAGACACCCTGCCCTTCTGCTGCAGGGCACTGCTCCCACAGCGGGGCTGGGGCCCATCTCATCAGCGCAGGCAGCTGCTTGTGGGTTAGCTGTGCTGCAGAGCAGCTCCTTGCCTTTCCTGGAATTGCCCTGGAGTTGGGAATTGCACCTCGTGCTCATTTGGCATCCTCAAGTTGGTCCTGCTGTTTGGAACTGGTGCAGGAATTCTTCCAGCTAATGTTAGCCTTGCTTCACCTKCAGGGTTTGCAATCACACCTTTATTTGTTCTCTTGCGTTCCTTCCTTTTTCTTAGAAAGGACCGAGAGGTTCCAACCGGAATATTTTTGTTAGGATTACTGAGGGTTTCAACCTGTCAGTCTTCTTGCATTTTTCAGTCCTCCTTTTTCCTTGTCACCTCCTTWGGCAGAGATGCCACCTTGCGTGCCCAGCTGAAGGGCTTGGACTCTGCGTAGTTGCCAGAGAGGAAGTTTATTTCCAGAGAGTGTATCCCAGTATTTCTTGTACAGGGCAGTGAGAGGGTAGGGACTTGGCTCCTAAATTAAGCTAAGGGGAGTTCCAGAAAGCAAACCAAGATCTCTCAAGCAGAGAGGTCCTTGAAAATCAATCTACAGGAGCACTGGAAAATGCAAGACGCTAGCGGAATTTGAGGCCYGTAGGAGGTTGATGTGATGGGGCCCACGGACAGTCTCTTTTAAAGCTCCGTCATGTTATGACTCTTCTGTCTATCTGAAGGTTGCCAGACATCAAGGATATATCTTTCTCTGCCAATTCCCCCTG